CAATTTATTGTACCCTTATTATTATTGTGCTTGTATGAAATACGTATGCTTGAACATTGTTTAGCGCCTACGCATATATTCATCCTGCTAGCTTCATTATTAACCGCTTAATATATTCGATGACTCATCCATTTTCTTATATATACATGTGTACATTTACACTCACTACTATTACTACTACTGTTACTGCTACTACTACGATCATAGTTAGCTTGCTCATCCATTTTGCCTCTCTGCTGTCTGGTCCGAGTTATCTGCTAAATAAGCTGTAGTAGCTGCTTCTTTTTACCTTCTGATTTCAAACACCGTTGAAGATTGTACGATAACGGTTCGAGGGTGATTAGTTATCGAAGCACAGCCACTACAAACTTTTTTCTACAAACGCCCAGTATATTGTTCACCAAGCAACTGATCGAATTTTAATTCCTAATATTAACGACCGGATAACTTAATACCTTCTTAATAAGTGTCCTAAACATCATACATGATGATCACGTTTGAATTAGAATGAATTCATTGTATTCTGCAAATCTTGTTCAACAATGTTTCGGTTCATCAGATTAGTGTTAAATATTATTATTTAAGAATAGAATGTTTATTACAATAAAACGTAAATGATCATACAAAGTAGACATAATCTATGACAGAACACCTGATTGCACTGAAAAGCTGTAATGTAAAATATGCCGACTCAGTATTCTGAAAGAGTTAAACATTTGCTCACGAGGCTGGAGTTCTTGGGTTCTAGTTCCTTGTGCGGGATCATGGATGTGCACTGCTGAGGAGTCCCATACTAAGGCAAAATTGCTTTTAGCTTTTCAAAAGTCCTTTCTTACATTTGACTTAAAATATATAAGTTTAAATAATTAGAACTGTTTTGTTTTATTGTGATCTGATTGAATCATTTTAACAACGTAAATTTTAAGCACCTATTGGATGAAGAATCAAGATTCAATTAATGATTAATGTGAAAGAATTCACTTTAATTCTCTTTAAGTTGAGCATTGGGTCTACGGTGTGATTGATAAAGCCATGTGTATCTGAAGTAATAATGTCCTATAACTGAAATCACCAATGGTTGTTACGAGATAATTTGATGTGCAGATAGTGAGAATTGATTTGGCATATATATCGTAAAGTGATTTGAAAGTCGTTTGACCAAAATTGGAGGTTCTGGTCTTGAAATTGAAGAAATTTTCTCGGAAATTCTGACTGAGTTCGAATTGTCATTGACTTCAATACTGTCCATAGACTTTGTTATGTATATATCATTGACTTTGACCACTACATTATTGCATGAACATTGATCTGCATCCATAACTCATCATTCCCACTGTACTGTATTTCATTCTGATTCAATACCGCGTGAGTAGTGTCCACATTTTTAATTCATTAAAAAGTATTTCAATATTTTCTATCTAGAACATCAATAACTGCATGCATAATAAATTCCATTGATCTGTAGGAATTGATATTGACTTTGACCACACTACATTATTGCATGAGATTATAGGGTGTGCTAAAAAAATTTGGGGATTGGTGATTGTTGTTCTTATTTTGTAAGTGTGTGCTCAAGTGATAATGAACAAACATTTTGTCACCTTTAATAATTTTCTAATTGGTCGTAAACTGTTCATCTTTGTAACCTGATTAGTTCAAATCGAAATAGCATCAAGTGTTTTGATCAGATGTGAGAATATGCATTTTTGCATTTGAAATTTATTTAGAATGCATAGACATTAACACCATTGGATGCCGGCTCAGTGGTCCAGTAGGTTAATAGTTCGCGCGTGCGACTGAATGCCTGGGTTCGAATCTCGCGAGCAGGATCATGGATGGGCACTGCTGAAGAGACCCGCAATAGGACGAAACGACCGCGTAGTGCTTTTCGCTTCATATGAGTTTGTCAGAATGCGTCTTAGTCTCATCAATGTGGCACGAACGCCTCGATTGAGGAAAAACATTCAACCAAACACTTCGATGACAGTAATAAAAAATTGATAATTTCAGTATATCTTGAACTAAAGACTGAAACAGTTGCATGCGTCCGTATCACATTTTCGTGTTGTGTTTATACAGATTGTTTAACCATCCGACACTTTTAATATATAAACTATTAGTGGGTGCAGTGAATATTTTGGTCTGTTTAAGTGATCACTTTCACCAGTAAAATGTGATTGTTACCACACACTGATACCGCAAAGTGTTTAATGAATGTACCCCATATTATAAACCTCCGAATCACGTCATCACTTACAAATCCCAATAATGTCTTCTGTGACAAATATTAATGACCAAATAGAGCTGATTGTAAATGGCTAAAATTCACCTGTGATAATGTAGTACTATTTATAAGTCGATCGATGTGAAATTTACCATTTTCAGTTTAAAAAGTGGATTCATTAAACTTTGATGTCGTATGTATTGTAACGCATGATGGCGATAATTTTGAGTTGATCAATATAAGGCCTGATGATGTAGTAGTCTTCAGAAGTAACAACAGAAGAAGGAAATCGTATATTAGGCAGAGAAAATACAACATTACTGAAAAATACTAAGAAAAGCACACACACATCAAGGAAAATACAATTTGCAAATTAATTCAAGATTGTTAGTTTATTTTATTTCATTCGATTTTCCAAATTAAATGCGAAAACTTCACGTTGACAAGAACTTTTGGTCTCTAATACAAGTGCGAAACACAAAGTGTTTATATGTGTATACAGCTAATGATAATGTGAAACATATATAGTTCCATTTGTTTTGTATAATGAGACAGTATTGTTTACTTTGCAAATGAAAATCAATAATTCCCTGATTCACATAAAGAGGAAACATTGTGGGTTTGTTGTCAAGATGGTCTACACAAGAATGCTTACTTTTATTATACATTATCATTATTGTACATTTCTGTTTAGCATTCACGAGTTTTTAATCCTGATCGGTAGCCCATGTTCTATGAGAGGTAACGGATGTATGTTGGTATGTGAGCTGTGTAGGTGATATTATGAATTCTTAGCCGATTAGGTAATTTTTTCGTATTCTGGATAATTCCTAATGAGACGGAGTTTTAAAGCCGATAAAGATTTCGATAACTATCATATTTGTACACATTATTTATGAACAACTGTTGCTTTCGTCTCTGTGTTGTAAGCAACTGACGATAATACACAAGTTGGAAGCATTAGTGCTATCAAGTGGATTACGAGATGGTGTTTGAAGCGAATGGTAATGTGTTCGAGTCGATGAGTGAAAATCAACTCTGAGGTGCAGGTACATCTAACTGACGAGTCCCAAATAGGCGGGGATCACACATCACATTGGATTCCACTACTAGGCATCACTAATTGTGGTGCTGCAAGTTACATGTGATAGTTATGACGAGACGAGAAAATCATCAGTCATAAATGAACTCGTCATGTAATTGATGACCGTCAATTGATGGGTTGTGAGGTTGGAGCTGAAATGTCACTACACGCACTTAATTGGTTGGCAAGCAATTAGACATTTTCGAAAATAATTCGTAAATAGATGGAGGAGAGGTTTTGAAGAACGTTTGTATCACGGATTGTGTCATTTTCAAGTGATAAACATTTTCCAGTGAATCACATGGGGAAATGTGTTTGGGAAAATTTCCAGACTCATTAAATATATGTTATACTGCCAAACCAATGTAACAGTTATCACGAGACGAATCAATCGTCAGATATTCAAGTGAACTATATAACCATTGTCCCTGATACTTAGTAGAGGATTGATAAGTGGCCATTTCGTCACAATCTATGCACTCACTGGTCTCTCTGTAGATGACCTGTAGTTTTAATTATGATTTCCTGAACTAGCGATTGTGCCATTCATGTCATCTTAAATCTATTCGGAAACGAAGGCAAAACTCTAATTTATAATTGACAGAGACGATGAAAACGTAACACAACTTCAGAGAAATGTTTTAAGAAAGAACAAAGAGTATCATTTTCACGATAGCTATCTATGTAACCAAGATTGATTTTTGAAACTTGTTTTCTCTACACACTTTTGACTACTCACGTGATGCAGAACTGAGCGACTTGATGCCATTGCAAAATGTTGAATTTTATGGGTGAACAAAGAACAGACAAAGCATTAGGACTTTGTCTCTCAAGTAGTTTAGTCAACATTGACTACAAGAATCATGTCCCACTCAACATAAGTGACATTGTGTCACGTGTTCGAAACGCTCTCGCAAGATCTACTCTCTAGCCATCTAAGTAGCGTCACTACCCTTCCGTCACACAGCGTATATTATGTTGAGTAAATAATCCCTTTCTATATCATTCATTTAAATTATCACATTTACATCTATGAGGGGTTCGCACAGATTCTTCAATCTGACCATCTTATCTGAACATAGTGCACGTAATGTTGAGTCACCTAGACTGCTAGACACATTGGAATTTGGTTGATATCATTCGATCTGCACTAAGAAGTACCTGACACACATGATATTGATCACCACACAGTGATCAATCAATTGTGAAACTATACATGTCTAATCAAAAAACCCTTTGATATTATTGTCCATTCATTTACACGACTGTGTTTTGCCATTAACCAACTGACTAATATTTACATTTGTCCAATTATTAACTCATTTATATTCAAGTGAATCAGTTGAAACTACAATTTAGACGGTGTTAATCATTAAATCCCATGGTATTGATATTAAAATTGGTCGAAGTTTAGGATGGAAAGTTATTTTCCTTATCAATACTTCTCTGTTATGAACATTTATACCTTTCTCATCATCATATTACAATCATTTGTGAATAGTGAACAGCATTATGTTGCTCCATAATCATTCCATATGAAATTGATTTCATGAAAAATATCAGAATTGTTATTGTGTAAAATATTGTCCATTTTCAAATGTAATTTGATCTATTCCACAGAAGGCACTATGTACATAACAATTTAATACAGTAAAACAATAAAACAATGTTTCTGTTCTCAATATTCATATTTCATGGATTCCAACGCAATTTCCGACCATTACATCCATCATTCCACCATCGTGCTACACTCGAAACCCAATATGGACCAAATGAATGAGATGTATGAGCTAGCAGACACATTGCACATTGAGGTTGGGCATCGTAATCATGTATGATTCCATGACCGTGCCATGCAAAATATTCATTATATGCAGTATCGTTCTTGTCCAAATACTTCAAATATTCTGCCAGTTTACCTGGTGATTCGAATTGATCAACGTGAATGAACGAGTATGGAGGAGCGACTCTCTCATATTCCTCTATCGATGCACCCATCACAATTGGAAGTAGATCGTTTCTTGGAATGAATAATAAGTTTGCAATTTGTTAAACACTTATCGAAATCTCATCATACAAGTGAACCGTGAACATTAGCAAAAATATGTATATACATTGAAAATGTCAAAATTTCAACTTACAGAACGATGGAGATGAGATTTCAGTTTTAGCCAGTTTCACCATTTTATTTTGACGTGACAGATATAGACAAATATGGACTATGATTGCTTAATGCACAATGGTAACTGCTAGGAATTATTTATGGACTATTACTACATATTGAATTTGGTATTGTTTGTTTGAATCGTTCCATTGATGTTTATGACTGACATTGACCAGTCTCTAATTGACATATGTGTATCCTGTGAAGATTGCCTCGATATTGCTTTACGTCACAAGCATTATAAGTAGGGATGGATGGAGGCTAGTAGTGGAATCTAGGGGCGCACGGTACTGGGTTCGATTCCACGAGTGAACCTCAACTGGGTGATTCAGATACATTCAGCTGAGGATCATCGAGTATGATGGAACGCGTATCGTGGATTCCACCGCTAACCACCATCCATTTAATATTGCATATATTCTTATTAGACAATTATTAAGTAACCAGATTATATATATAGTATGTATATTCAGGTTTCCTTTATCATAAGGTTTCGTTTGACCTGTTGTCTACTGCCACTTTTTGCTTGGTTATGTTAGTTTGATCATAAGGTTTCGTTTGACGTATTGGCTACTGAAATACGTTTAACCATTCTTAACTTATTCGCAATTTATTTGTTACAATATCCCACAATCACAGCCACATTTTGCTTGATCCCGTGTAATTATTATTTTTCTTTTTTTTGCAGTGTGATGCGTGTTGTTCTGCTTGTATATAAACCACGTATGTCTGATATATATTAGGCAGAAAAAGTGCAAGCTTAATTAGAAATACTAAGCAAAGAACGCACACACACCAAAAAATTATAATTCACAAATTAATTCAAGATTTCTAGTTTATTCCATTTCATTCAGGATTTCAGATTAAATGTGAGGACTTCACCCTGATGAGAACACTTGGCCATGTCACCAAGAGTCTCCAACCATTGGTTACGATAGTCACGCGGACCCCAACCAAGTAGTCTGCGTCTACCAGCATGGCTCAGACTAGAAATTAGTGACTTCAAGCACTGATGCCACGTTTTGGTTTGGCCGCCCCTAACTTTCTCCCAACCATCCTGAACACCGGTTAGCATTTCACGTCGTGGTAATCGTTGTTCGGGCATACGTAACACGTGGCCCAACCATCTCAGTCGATGAAGATTCACAATCTCATCAACCATTGTTCCCTAATACTCTGCATCTAACCTCACTATCACATACCCGGTTATCCCAGTAGACGCCGGCAATATTTCTAAGGCATCTGTGGTCAAATACTAGTAGATTACGAGTGTCTTCTACTCTTAATGGCCATGTTTCGCTGCCGTAAATAAAAACAGAACGGACTGCCGCGCAGTATACTCGTCCTTTTATTGATAGACTGATATCTCGCCTTCGCCATAGGTGACGTAAGTTGACAAAAGCCAAACGAGCTTTTCGAATCCGTGCTGAGATTTCGTCAGACACCAACCCATTAGGGCTGATCAGACTTCCAGGATAAGTGAAGTTATCAACGCGTTCGACTACTTCACTCCCTATCCTTGGTTCAGGTGTTGACGCAAACCAGTCCTGAAGCAACAACTTGCATTTAGAGGGAGAGAAGCGCATTCCAAACATTCTGGCATTGTTGCTTAGTGCTACCAAAAGACTCTGCATTTTGTCAGAGACTTCCCCAAACAGGACTATATCATCCGCGTATTCTAAGTCAATAAGTGGACCTCCTGGAAGGAGATCAATACCCGAGAATTCAGTCGACGAGAATGTTATTTACATCTCTGGGCTAATGTGGTATGGCAACTTGAACTGACCTACGTACGTACGAAGTTCTACGTTGTTACTGACTGACTGACTATTTCCATCAGTAGGTCTATGATGAAGTTGAACAAAAGTGGAGAAAGTGGACAGCCTTGACGGACACCACTTGAGGTTGCAAAAGCAGATGACAGTTCGCCATAAGCTCTGACTCTACTGCTTGTGTTCGAGTAAAGAGCCTTCACAAGGTTTGTGTACTTCTGAGATACGCCTTTCAATGACAGACACTGCCACAGAATCTCGCCGTCTACCGATTCAAATGCTGCTTTTAAGTCAAGAAAGACCACCATTGTCGGACGTCGATAAGTATGCCTGTGTTCTAGAACCTGACGAATGGCGAATATGTGATCGATGCAGCCACGACCAACCAGGTCTGAAGCCAGCTTGATTCTCTCGTGTTTGCAGTTCACGAGTCTTAGTTAGGCGTCTGATAATTATCGAGGCTAGTATTTTAGATACTATATTAGTTAAACTAATCCCTCTATGGTTATCACAGGATGATTTTCACCCTCTCTTATATATTGGGACGATAAGTGATTGTGACCAGTCAGATGGAATGACGTCTAACTCCCAGATCTTAGTTAAAATTGTAGTCAACTTCCCGGTTGCCCACACCGTGGAAGGGTTGTTCTGGAGGTACCTGAAAAGGAAATTGGATTAGAGGCGGTCTTAGTGACCTAGGAGCGTGACCACAGTGCCAAAGGGACAACTGCTTGAGGTCGGTCACACACGACCTTTTTATGGGTAATTTTTGTGTTGGCTCCGTACTTGTTGAGACCTTACCGCCGGAGACGGATATCCGTGGGATAAGGCGGGATGGGCATTTTTAGAGTCGACCTTTTCTAACCCCACCCCTCCTTGTGGGAAGGCAGCATTGCTGTCATGCTGGTTGTCTGAAGGAAACACCTTACTGCTGTCACAGCTCTGTACAGCCAGCAGCACGACTTCGCCTTCAGACATTGGGAACTCGAAAGGATTGTCCACGACAGAATTGGATGGAGAATGGTGGTGGTTGGCATATGCTCCTCCACGAAGGGTAACGGGCGTAAGTGTGTAAGTAGGTAAGTAAATAAGTAAGTGCTGGATGACTTGAGTTGCCGCCTATCACTAAAACCAACATCAATGTAATTCATTGCAGTTCACTCTGCCAATTTCATTTCGTTTTTCTGAAATAATAAGACAATTTGAGACGATGATTATGCACACATGAATAAATTGATGACTTTGATTACACTATAATGCAAGATTAATACCAAACCACTTACTTCAATGCATTTTTATACAACTTCTCTGTTATGTATTCACTGCACAAACTATTTTCGAAGCTCAAATAAAACTTGTAATTTTCGCGAATCATTTTCAAGCAACTAATTGATGAGGTAAAAGTCGGATTATACTTTGGACAGGATAACGTGCCACACTGACCATAAATATCAAGCTGAAAATAGAAAATGAATCAGTGAACTATGGAACAGATAAATTACATGTTTTAATGATGAAGCTGGTAACCGCATCGAATTCACTGTGCGTATGTTTGATAAAACGATCAGTTTCCTCCTAAAATTTTAATAGTTGAGTTCGTAAGCAGATCTAAACTAGAACATCATTGAAAACGTGAGAGCACTGCACAGTTTCCTCCAGCATTTCTAAATAACCATCATGAACACAGTGAGCTCACTCATGTACATGCATATAACACTTGGACATAAAAGTGAGTGATCACTGAGTATGGTGTAAGAATACCTGGATTGGCAATCTTGTGAGATCAGTTTAAGGAATAGTCACATGTAGTTATATTGATCCAGTGATAGAGTTCCCTACAAACTGACGATTCGATGAAATCATCTTCAATCTGAGCACTATCCCTGACATTTATGAGATGCTTATTTGTTTATATGTATAGACTAACCAACTTGTACATTTATAGGATAAGTTTTTAATGAAGTGAAAGACAATCAAATATTCATAGTTGGTGATATTGATTATAAATTCCAGTAATGAACACACATCGTTATAAAATGAAACACCTTCACTGGTCGTTAAACATCAACAGTATATGACCGATCAGTAAGTACGAAACCTCTCTCAAAAGACTGTGAAAGAGAGCAATGCTAAAGATTGAGTGCTTGAGTGCCTTATACGTGTTTATCTATTTTGCTACACACTGGAAAGTAGGTATTGTTAAAGAATCAGTGCTTGAAATCCATCGAGAACGCATGCGTGATCGAGAAGTCGGAGTTTCAGAGATGGAGACCTGTTGTCAACACAATGATAGAACACACAATCGTGCAGATGTGGGAATAATACACTTGTGACATATACTTCACGCATTGCTGTGAATCAATCAAGACAATTTCAGTAGACCTTGTTTCATTATATTCCAATCATTATTAGTTTGTTTCTCCTTCATTTGAACCTACAGGATCCAATCAACTTTCCAATCACATTTGTCATCATTTCATATGAAATGATTACAATTAAAAGTGACAAGTATTGCATGTTTCATAGTGGTGTTTGTATGAACTAATGATACCTTTGTGCCCAATGTCTGTCTGATTTCGAGTTTCAAACACCAAACTTTCGTTAGTGCTCACCTAGTTCTCTCAACTTAGTTTGCTCTATTTCGGGAATTCTTGGTTCGTACAGTAATTCAAATACTTCCAATTATTTTACTTGTGCTGTATACATTTTGTATTTTGTCAATTATTCGTTTACTCAAAACTATTGAAAAACGTGTAGAAACTCAATGTTAAGCTTTGTCAAACTCACCGGGATATGTCGTGAAAGTTCTTTGGCGTATTGCATTCTTGGACTTTTCGGTATACAGTTACTCACAAACCATGCAACTTTTTTGATTTCCCAGTAGCGAAGTTTCTAGAAGGTAAAGGATATCGTGTTTCTGGTCCATGGTGCTTCATGTATGGCTCATAGGAACCGTATGGTGAGTAAATCGTTGAATCCAGACGGAAGGAGATAGTGTAATTAATCTTGATATCAGAGGGATAAATTCAAGTAAAACGATGTCATGGATATTGAAATGAATGAGCAAGTTAGTAGTTTTGATATTAGAATAATGTTTTAGTAAAGTGGTTCGTGGGTAGTGTTTAGTTTTGTCGTTTTGGATTCTAGATTAACGGTACAGACCTGAGTGTTTTGATTACGACCTCTGGTGTGGTGGTGTATTTACAATGCTCAAGAGTTCTTTACTAAGATTAAATATCTGTTCAGTGCTTCCTGGTTTTCAAGGTAAGAGTTTGTGTATTGTATCCAAAATAAAGGAATATTTACAAGTAGATTAGTCTTGCTCGTGAATAAACATGACATATGTAATTAGTGACATCTATGATTCGTGTGTACAAACCGAAATCTCTAACAGTCTATTTATTATGCAAATCCATTTGTGTCAGTTAGTTGCATAGATGCAAAGGAAATGATAAAAAATCAACCCGATAATGGTGACATGAATGACAGGTTTTTACTGATTAGTTTAAGCGGATATTAGGCATATATATAACAATGAATAATGAACAAAGTATAGAGATCACTTGTTCAATGTATCTACGTCAACAGTGAAATCTACTGTTAACAAATAAATGTTAGTATAAGGATTCGAATGAAGTAAACTCCCGAAAATGTCTTGAACGCAACCAAAGAACGATGCTGTCTAAGTTTTTTTGGGTTTACAACCTGTACTATTAAATCCTAACTACAGGTAATATGCCTTGTGGCATATTACATAGATATATCAGAATATCCTCTAATAGTGTGGTTAATAATATTTTGGAAACTGTCGGTTTTCTGTAGAATGAAAATATACTTCGAGTATGATTGACTATCATTCCTTGATATCGATATTCTGAACATATTGAAGAAATTTTCAATCAAATGTTATTTACTGATGTAAATGAAGTCGTACATATTATATGTTTGCTAATCGAAAACAATCTAATTGGTTAGTGGATGATCCTGGAGGTGAATGAATAATCGAGTGATATTTAAGCGATCAACATTTTATCTAGTGTCTATCATGTGATCTAGTGGTCATCACGGTACAACGGAATATACGAATTGTGACTGTTCTAATAAGATTGTTTGTTAAGTAAGTTAATAAAAGGGCTTGACCAAAATTAACCATAATCGAAATCGGTTGTAAGATAGTTGCGATAATAGTGTAAAGTGGTGAAATGAATTCTATGGGTTCAGCCAAGAGGTGAACATTATTTTCATTTGAATAATTGAATCTTCAGTTGGAAACTATATAAAATTTCATGACTAATCAATGAATATGCATTAAATTAATGAATGTCTTCACCTGAATTCGAACATTGACCACGAATTCGAAGCTAAAATTGCACACGAATTTATTTATTTATCTTCTTCAAAACATCCCATATAAAATCAATCACAGTGTAACATGTGTGCTAAAGCAAACCAGGTATAAACGTTTTCGCTGGAACACTTCTACTGTTGTGTGACGCATAGGTATGTGTTTTGTGGGAATCATAAACTTCACACAATTAGTGCATTTCATGCTTCAAAATCAAGAATAGTGACATTATTCGTTGAGTAACACGAATCTATTCACACTTTGTAGTCCTCGTCAGCTACATACAACCGTAATGAAATGATAAAGATTAGTAATATTACTATGGTCAGAATTACTCACTTCCAGTGTACCTGCCATAGCAATATGTACAGGCGACTCTTCTATTAAACTAAACCATAATTGCTCTGGAGGTCGAATTCCATTTGGCACTTTATCTTCTGTCAATATAAGTGCATCAGCTTCTCGCCATCTGTTCATGTCAGTGATAACTGCACATTTCGAAGCATGACATTTTGAAAAGTCCATTGGTCTAAAAATTGTACGATGCCCATATTTGAGAAACGTCTTCACCTGAAACATGAGTTGATACAAATTCATGTGTTGATTTTCACAATTTAATGAGCATCATATCTAACATCTATTTCATACATAGTTCAGTAATCAAACGCACAAAATATGATTTCGTCAATCTGATATCCAAGTGAACGGTATATGTCCAAATGTTTTATGGAATGGATATAGTTGTGAGCAGCAATGGAAACTAGGATTCGAGGTTCTTTCCTTCGGAGATTCATCAAAATCCAGACAAGATTATAAACAATGGGATAATTCACAACCTTTCTATCAATGATATGTATCCTTATGGTTAGTAAGGATGGCAAGTTTTGTTATTGATGTTATTCATGCAATTGATGCCATTTGAATGAAACGATCACGAGATGTGAGTATCAATTTGATGGAGAGTTTGAAACTGACGTTATTTCACACTTGTTATCCAGAAACATCTGAAGAACGTGTCTTCAACTTCTCATATATCTCACCATACACATTTCACTTACAAACATCATCTCTCAACCAAAGTTTCTGTGATGATTCAACAACAGACCTGGTGGTGAGTGGATCACTGTGACGAAAACTACTATGAAATCGAACAATGTACACAAATATTTTGCACACATAATCTCGATCATTTTGAAATATCAATGAATACTTAGTAAGGATCAGTTAATTAGAAGACAGTCAGTCTATTCAACATCAAAGAATATTTCTAATAGTCAACTTACTGTCTTATTCACACCCAATGAATCATATAATTTCTCAAGTCTATTTTCTTCCAGGCTATATCTCAGTGGGTATTTTTGAACAGATGTTTTACTGATAGGGGAATATATTTTGTGTAATACACTAGCAAGATCTGAATCTGACGCGTTTGGAACAGATATATTATTGCACGAAAATTTTATTGTTTTAGGTATTACATCATGATCGATTTGATTGATTCTCCATTGAAAAGACTTGGTACAATGTTCATCACCATATGATCAACAGAATAATTGAAACACTGTACAACAATTTGACTGTCAATGTATATTTATCACTTCGTACAACTATATCAAAACTTTCACGCATGATGTTTATTACAGAAGTGATTGGACGTCAGTTAGAAAGATTGATAATCAGAAATGTGCGATATTATCTGAAAATTGTAAAACAGTCATTAAAGCACTGATAACAATCACTGATTACAGTCTTTCATTAGTGAAATATCATAAGCCACATTATAACCCATTCATGTAATCTAGGTGAGAAAATATTCACGTAACATATACAATTGTTATTCATTGACAAATTGTTTATTGCCATAACAGTTGCATGCATACCAGATTGTAGTGTGAAAGTACATTAATGTCATCAGTGTTTGATTTGTGAATTAATCGACTACTATGCATTACAAGCTTGAATCGAAGTCACTAATTGAAACCTTTGATGAGATCACTAACCAACGAATGTAGGACACGAGACAGATGACTGTTTTGTCGCTAAATGAGACGATTTGGCAGTGTGCGTCTACGACAGTCACCTACTGGGAATCCAACCCATCACATTGAGTCTCGTGTTCGGATGCTGAATGTCTAGTCCATGAGGACGGCAACCAACGGTACACACGTCCGACAGTTCACATTACTGCGTATCATCCGTCTAATTGTAATTCTAAAGACTGATTGGACTGCATTATTCAATTGATAAAAATGGAATCGAAATACAGTCTCCACAATATAGGCAGTTGTTTAACTCTCTCGTGAATTAGCAATGTTAAACATATCACTGGGAATCCTGTGTGAATTCGATACTGTTCTGAAAATATGATGTTCCAAATTTCAATATTTTCCACCACAGAGAGATTTGTTTGAAAATCACTTGAAGTTTGATTTGGCATTTTCAATCTGAGTTGTGATTAAGCTGAGTAAGAGAGTGTTTTTCATATCAACTCATTACTGTCCGACTATTCCATTAACATTTCACTGATGGTATGTTCCAATCTCAATATGTGACACTGAATATGTAAGTCATTGTATAACGATTGTATTGTCACTTCATTCATATTCAATGATTCAATAGTAGTTATTCAACATTAGAATTTTCTTTCTTAATTTCTAAGTTGAGTAATAAGCAGATGTTACGTACAAGCAAATATGGATAGTGACTATCAGGGGAACCCATATCTCGAGCTCATATGTTTTCACGTAAATTGTAGTGGTGTTTTAGATCGATAAATTGAATTAAATCATGAACTAATGGTTATACACTTTATGTACACGTCTACCAGATTCCTTAATCAACTCGGCATTTACAAGTTATTAGTTTCTATTCAACGTCTTCTATACTGAAAAAGGAATGGTGAACAACCTATTAATCTATACTCCACATTTCAGAATCTTGATACAATATTTTAATGATACCGAAATCTCTCTTATTCTTCTATCATATATGAATTGATAGTTATTTTTGAGCAACAGTAGTGTGTTCAACGTGGTATGCGTTCAAAAACATCATCTTTATTAGAAATCTTATGGAAAGATAGGTATGATATTTAACAATAAATAATGGATTTTACCAAACATCAGAATTCTTGTCCAGAACTTGATACATTGATACATTCACAATATCTTTGAATATTCCAGATGAGTTTTTCACAACCTAATGTTATATTGACATATACAGCATATTAGTGAAACAATATTATCGTCATAGATATAAGAATCCTAAATGTACTTCATACATAACTGAACAAGATCCACTTGAGTAGATTGTGAAGAAGAAGAAGAAAAAGGTTTTTTAATCGATTAAAATTGATTTTAATAAAATGACTGCTCACTCACGATCAATTCATATATCTCAATGAAAATATCCAATATAAATTAGTGATGTAACAAATTATCAACAATCGTTTTTTTGAATATATTCAGTTTACATTACCCATACCTTGGTCTATAGAATGATTCTGTTGAAATTGAAATGAATGGTGTACATTTCGGTCGAAATATATATATATACACAAAGAGAGAGAGAGAGAGAGAGAGAGAGAGAGACAGTGAGTGAGAGAGTATTACATTACGCCATTGCATTCATTAATTTTAATACATTATTACTTATTCAAATGATCATTGGTGAATTCAAGTATATACCATGTATTCGTATAATTGATCCAAAGACCACAACAACAACAACAATACAATAGTAATGAATTCATTTCATTTCAGTATTATTTCACGAATAAATTGTTTATTTATTTGTTCGTTTGTTTGTTTTTGTGCTCTTACATTCAGTATTGAGCATTAAATATTACTCATTTTTAAAATTATATACATTAGATTGGCAACTATTAGTTTGTCCTACAGCCTGATGAATTTCTAACGCCTTGTAGCGGTAAATAAATCCTCAAAATAAATAACTCTGTAAGTCTTCGACATTTGATGCCGACCACATTGGTTTTAATGGACTCACCTAGCTGAAGGCGCTCGGTCATGCATCCGCACCAGATTACGTGTGGGATCGCCGTGCTTAACAACCCCTGCAATCGCTAGCCAGATTAGATCAGACAATCCTTGATATATTGATAGCCTATCAAACATATCTTCAAACCTCCTTAGCCTCTGTCTTTTGATTCCACTTGGTGGGTACGATTCATATTAGAAAGTGTTACTGGTTAAAGCGTTGTCAAACAACGAATACCTGTGGCATCTTCAGCATCTACAGTGGACAAGTTATTGTATGCACTATTCTTAAATCAACTCATCCAACTGTATAGATGATATTGAAAGATATATCTGATGGGTCAGTGTAACCAAAGTTCACAAGATATTCCAGTATTGAACTATTGATTGTTCTTCATTCGCCTTTTAAAAATCACAAAGGACTGTGTTCAGCTATGCGTTTGGGAAGAGCTCGCTGTATACATTTTGATAGAGTATACTCAGAAAGATCGAAAGTAATCAAAAAATCGTTTCCTGAGGATTTCAGATATATATTACTGATATGTAACGCGGAACCTGTAGTGTCGGTTGCTATGTTAAGCACACATAGCTTATTCTGACCTCCAGACAAGCCAATTTATTCACCATTCTTCAGTCACATTTTAACCTTCCCAATTATTCACTTATCGAAATTGACTGATTCTATGTAAGTGTATTTGTGTATATTTCCTATCTTACCCACCACATGTCTGTAACTTAATTTTATTTCATTATAAATGTCGATTAATACTTGAATAAATCGAGTTGGCCAATACACCCTCTCCAATTTGCTTCACTCTTGTGTCGTTGTTTCGTCTCCTTGATTGCCTATTACAAATCAATGAGTACATGAAATATACATATTCCAAATAGATTCTCTTATTTGATTTATTTAATTCCGTTATTCATTAGTGCGGATTAAGTCTTTAATTATATATGAGAATAGACGATATGTATATTTCAATAACAATCATTCATCCGATCTAACTGAAGTCATATATACCAAGTCGCTAAATACCTAGTTACCTGATCGATGACCAACTATCGCTTATCATCTGATTTTATTTATGACAAAATGAAATACTGATATAGTTCTTACTATAAAGTACAGCATATGATATTGGTAGCATCTGGACAAAAATCGTAGATTCATCGATTTATTACTCGTTAAAATGTCTCTGATTTATAATAGTCTAACTTCATTTAACCACTGTACTAATGAGTCCAAATATTTGATCTGTCTCTCTTCAAATTCTTTTCGTTATTTATGTGTATATCTTGGATAAGTATTAAGGTAATTACATATGTTTGACTAACTTTGTATAACAATTGAATGTACTATGTTTTATGCGAATAATAAACAACATAATTTGTTCAGTACAACTTATAGGTCAACCAAAACGACTAGACTTGAACAGACCATATTTATTTATTCGGATTATACACATACATAATCTGTTTGATTTACACTGTCTGTGTTAGATATTACATAACATGGATTTCATTGTTAGATATTACTATCGTAAGTAAGCAATATTTGATCGATCGAACCATAACTATTAACTTTTGTCTCAGTGATATCGCACTATGTGGATTTTGACTCAGTCCCTTAATTTCCAAAATAGTCTTTTATCCATCTTCAATTGAAACCATTAATATACGCAATTCGAAGTAAAAAACTATCCAATACACTTTAGTATTCATTCACTTTCCATGTAATATACTGTTGGTGTGATCCAGAAAACTTCTCACAAAAGACAATTAAGGGTCGGGAAAACACTAAGAAGCATTTTATCCAATCAGCGTTCACTTGAAGCTTAGCCAGAAACATCAAGAAAGTGAAAAGTCACATGTAGAGTTTCTGATTGGCTGATTACTATACTGCTACCATGTTTAGTAGCATTCCAGAATGCTACTCGAATATTTTGCGCCATTTCTCTCATGTTCAGATCGCTGTGTAGTCCTAGCTTGGGGGTTACGATAACAGCTTAGGGACCGAGTATAGCGTTCAATTAACAATATGTATATATATATTCGTTCTACTGTGTACTAATGTTATTTATCAGTCCATGCATAGTACATAATTAACAGTAAAAACAGTTTTACTAGTAGAATAAGAATAGATTTGTTCAACATTAACTACTTCCATCATTATGTCTATGGAACAACCATAAGATTTTATTAATTATATTTATAAAAAATAGAGTCAATTTTCTCTCTAAAATTTTTCATGAATATCTTCATCAAGACAGTAATATGAAATATACAGAATCAATATGTAGATGGTGTTGTTGAGTTTACTGTTAAGTATGTTATGATCGTGAGGGATCTAGTATTCAACTCTGTACTAACCAGATGTAAGAGAATTATGAACTACCAAATGCTCTGGTATGGCCGAAGGTGGAAAGAGTTAGCCCTCCCTCTCTAAATGCTCTCACATGACCCGCGTATACAGCCATTGGCCCAGAAGTCTTACTCACTGCCTTCTCTCACCACGAGAAGCGAATGCCCGGCGCTTTAACCGGGTTGGTAGACACGAAGAGTCCACCAAAGGGAGCTGGAAAACCATGATTCCAAACCAATTTTGCACATTAGCTCCATGATCCTAAGGGAACAGATGGAGTACGAATCAGTCGTTTGCCATTGGTTACCATGGGACTGCATCTCCTGAAGTTGCTCCACTGACTTGTGGATCAGACCTTTACGCCTGCCTCAGTCGGGTACCCGGGAAGTATCATAACCCACACACAAATCAGTGACTCGTGTGGTGCATATGTATCCGGTGCCCTTTAGTACAAATATATTTGACTAATTAATTCAACATCCTTTATTGCTGTCATCTATGTTATATGTGGTTTGGAAAGGAATAGACATTATGAGTGAATTAAATCATTTAATAATTAATAACTGTCCTGGTTATCATTCAGTTCACATCA